CCACCTGACTGTTCAAAATCGAATTCTTGTATGGAAAACCTTTGGGTTATTGTCCAAGACAACTCAACAATCCATAAACAAATTATTCTGATCGCACTACTATAGCATATAGCTGTCATAGCAGATAGAAAGAAATTAAATCAGGTTTTGCACTGCGACCAATGGTCCATTGGGCCCTCTTCTATATATCTTATGGCTACAAAAGTCTCGCACTCTGAACAATTCCAAGAGCTTACTGGGCGCGATGGAGCTGTTGACGTAGCTGGCTCCGAAGGCCTTGAGCCTGCTTCTACAGATTGTTGAACAATCTATAATTAGTTAACCTAGAGTTTCCGGTTAAAAGTCGCAAAGCCGTCAGTTTAAACAAGAAGCTTTGTCCATGTTTGGCAAGTGTTTCATGAGTTTGCAGTACCCAGTATACAGCACAAGAAGTTGAGGGAATTTGTCTCGGGGGATTTTCATCATATCTCTAAATATATATAATATATTAAATATTTTTACATTCAACATTCGATTTCCTAACTCTTCCTCTAGCTGAAGAGTACCCACCGCATATCCGTCACATCCACAGCGACGGCACGCTATGTCTCTCCGTCTCCAAGCTGGCTATCTCCTTCTGCGTGCTGGGCCTTATCTTTCTGCTCGCAGTTATTGTGGCAATTTACTCGCTGATACGCGCACGTCGGCGCACCATAAGCAGCACCTGCGCATTGACGCCGCCCAGCAGCGGCACGGGGCATATGCAACGCGCGGAGCTTTGCACATCCATGTTCTCATCGAGGTGAGTGTTCAAGAATTTATTAATGTTTAATAATAATTTTATTGTTTTGTTTACTTTGCAGCAGCGAATCAGCGCAATCCGCCCGTTTTGGCAGCAAACTGCTTATGCCCTACTATCCAAACACATTACCCTATGGTCGCGTTTACTAAGCCAATGCAAGGTTCGGCCTTTTATCTAATAATGCATGATTTAGTTGTAGTTTTTGAAAATTACTGTTTAAGCTTCACATTTCACTCATCATCTAAAGACTGATTTTTGTAGTTTTCCTCAACGAACGCATTGCAAACAAAACAAAAAATAAAACAAATAATAATTGTGAAAATTTAATTTTTACAAAAAATGTAATACTCTAATAGCTACTACTTCATTTATAAGTAAAAGTTACTTATTGCGAAAGAAATTCGAAAACGTTTTTGAAAAACCTTAGTATTAGTGTATGTAGAAAATGTTTTTTGACTTTTCTTTCTAAATAGTTGTTTAATTCGTATTAGTTGCTTAGCATGGTAGTGTAGTTATTGCTTAAATTCGATTTAAATTGAGTTTATTAAAAAAATTTATAATATAAAATTATTTTTTAATTTCGTATCGATCGAATATAATATTTGTTTAAAAAATAGCATAAGTGCACGCTTAGATATAAGATTCCCACGACAGTTGGGTCTCCGTAATCCAAATAGACCGGACCTTGATTCGGCCAAGGACTCTCAACGTAAAGTTACTTCAAATATGTTTTCTGTATTTTTTTTATTTGAACTTTGAGATATAATATACATATGTATACATACATACTATATTTTTTAAATTTATTAAATAGTTCGCGTTAAAACATCTTTCTTAAAATTTCTGTTTATTTTCAAAGCTAAAGGAAATCCGTTTACATTTACCGTAACTTTTTTGAAGAAGCACCCAAAGAACTTATTCTCCAAAAGAAACATATCTAATTTAATGGTGTGGGGTATTGTTAATAAATTTTAATTGCCTAGCTTATATATTAAAATATATTTAAAGGTTACTTTCAACGAAATATAATTTATAACAAATAATTACATTTTTAATTGTCCTAATTAAATTGAAATAAAAGAAATTCACGTAATTGAAATTATATAGCGCTTTTTATTGCTGTTGTTGTTTTGAGTCATTATTTTAAGTCTTTTTATTCCGATTCTTTATTTTGCTCCGTTAACTTTCAATTAATTTCGTATCCCAACCAGCTTTCAAATATAGAACAACGATTTAAATAAATTTTAATACAATTATTGCGATTTATTTATTACACCGTCTAAAACTTTAGCGCATTTTTAACACGCTTACACCTTTTAGCAGACATTTTATTGCATTCCAACGTGTTATTGCTGTTGTTACTTTTTTATTTTTGTTTAACTAAATTTGTAGAAATTAAAAGAATCACATCTAATAACAAGATAATTACATAAAACATCTAATTTGGTACAATACAATCAATATTAACATTAGCATAGCTGATGAATATTTATAAATGGAATACAGAATTTACATATGCGCCTTTTGTTGTTGTCTTAATAACGCAAAAAATTAAAAAACACTGCTATTGTTTGTGTGTGTATGTGTTGAACAGTATTGTTTGTGTAGTGGCGAAAAACTTGTTTGCCATTTTTGTTTTTATAAAGTTGCATGAATACTGTTGAAACTGTAACATTTAATTTATTTTTGTATACATTTTATCTAAATAGTTAGTAGTTTTTAAAGCAAAAAACAAAATAGCAAATATATACACATTAAATAATGCGTTGCACTCCTTTACGAACGCTAAGATATATATATATTTTGCTTTACGCATTTGGATGACTGGCTCTATATGTTTATATATGGCTTAGAAGAGCACATCATCATCGCCTTCGTCCAAAATATTGGCTTGTTGGCGCACATCTATGCCCTGTTGTAGCAATTCCGCTTTGAGTGCCTCGGCCTTCTTACGCGCAATGCGCTTCTTATCTTGAATCTTTTTCAAACGGTAGAATTCCTCACGCTCCAATTCATCCAATTCGGAGATGATGTAAGCGAGTGTACGGTCGATACGTGGAATGATGACTAAAATGAATTTTTTGTCAGCTATACTTTTTCACATTGATAAATTTTACTCACCATGCTCAATAGCGTTAACTCTTCTGTTTGTGATCTTAATAACCTCATCCAGTGTGACGAACGATGTCTGCAGCGATGCCAATTCGACCAATAGTTTCACTGCGCTCTGATAATTCTTCTTCAATTTGGCCAATTGTTGACCACCACGAGCCAGACCAGCCAATTCGTATGTGTCAGCGCCGTCCTGATATGATTCGAATACGGGCAACGTTACACCAGCGACGTTGTCTTTCTTTGTACGGATCTTGATTTGTGCTTTGGTCACATTCTGCAATACAACTTGATTGAAATCGCCAGTGGTGAACTTTGCTTCGGCAAGTGAGAAGGCAGCCTCCTTCATAACATCTCCCATTAAAGTTTTGGTCTGTGGCACGAAAGTGAAATCAAACATATTAAGAAATTTTAGAAAAGTGCGCAAACACATACACAAACACGTAAATTTGTATTAACTTATCACGGTCATGTGTAAAGTGGGTGGGGGTGGGCGATTACGCAGCCATCCCATTATTGCAACTCACCTCAATAATTTTACCCAAAATCATACGAAAACGCATTTGCAGGGCATCAGCCTTTTTCTTGAGCAAACCATGACCCTTTTGTGCACCTGCCAGACGTGCCTTCATCAACATCTGTGCCCTGCAAAGGAAGAGTTGAGAAAAAACAAGATTCTACAGCGAAAACTATGACTTTCTTCATTGGCTTATAAATCATTTTTATCGTGTTTTTTAGTGGCCAAGCTCTTTTCATATGATAAGCTGACTTACCCACGAGATGGGAAAATCGGTAACCTGTCTTTGCCTGACATTTTTTATACTTTTTCAACTGATTTTCCAATACAATTTCACGGAGAAAATTTGTGCACACACGCAGCACCAAATACAAGACAAATCGTTTGGTCAGCTGACAAATGTCAGCAGAAATGTCATATGACCCGTAAGCGTGCGCCATCTAACGGCAAACAAGAAATTCGACATTGTGCAGTGCACTCTAGCGGTGGAGTCTGTATGCGACATTTGCAGAAACATATGGATGTGTAAATTTATATTATTACAAATAGTTTTTAAATAAAATCTTGATTTTTCGTGATTTAATTTTTTGTGTTCAAAAAAGATGTTTGCAGCAAACGGCTATGCGTATATACATGTATTGAAAAAAATATTTGTAGCAGAGAAAAGCAAAATTCTCTGTCTGTACATTGTACATAAAAATAAGCAAAATTATTACTCATACGCCATGTACAGCTACATATTTCTCCAAACGTGTCAACAACACCACTTGTAGATAAAAGTTTACCCAATTACGACAAAGAACAAAAACCAGTAATAACTACAATGACAACAACGAATTTCGCCACCAAGCACTAGCACGAAGTGCAAAATTTGTAGTAGTAGCACAAACAATAAAAAGTATGGGCAGCGACGTCGACCGCAGCGTTAACAGCGGAAATCAACAGTTGTGTGGCTGTCGTTACTGTCGTTCGTCGTGGCAAAGGAACAAATTGCTGTGTAATCCTGTTGTAATTTGCTTTGTGTATGTGTAATACCATATTTTTCTTCTTGTTGTCTTGCCGACCAACTGCACGAAGTCAAGTGAAAGCGAAATCACTGATAAAGCTACTAGAGCAATTCCTAGCAGTCGTTGTTGTTATTTTTTTTACTGTTTTTACGTTTAAAGGAGCCAAATTGTTGGTACGGTCACGTTCAGTACGGAGCCGACGACGTTAAATGCGACGAGCATGACTTTGGCATACGACTTTTGTAAACAAAGCGTATTTGAGTGACTTTACGAATATCTTTTCGTTTTTTTTTTTGTTATACGTTTTACTACAAAGAACACACCCCCAAACTGGAAAACACAACAAGAATGAAAAATAGGAAAAATCATGGCTCGTGTGTAAGCATCATTAAGTAGAGTAAAATCACGCATTTGAGTGTGCCTGCCTGTTTGTATGTACATATGTGCGTGTGTTTGCATTTGCTGCGCAGCTTCGCGGCCTTCAACTGTAACTATCAGCCATCAGCATTGCTGCCAGTCACCAATGATTGTAGTGAGTTAGTACACTTTTGGAATCCATAGGGACGCAATCGCACTTTTCGCAAAAAAAATCAAAGATTTTCTATTCAAATACATTTTATTGGAGAAAAAATAAATAAGTTAGAGAAAGTATACAATCAAGCGAGCTGGCGCAAAAGTAGTGGAAAAGTTTAAAAAACAAGTGAGTGCGCGATTTTTATTAAATTTTCTATTTTCCATTAAAGTATTGGCAATCAACAAGTAAAACTGTTGACTACTTTCATCTATTCAAGCGCTCAGTGCAAGCGTTTCGCTGCTTCTCTTTAAGTTTTAGGCATTGCTTATTCGTATGTGTCTATGTATGCAATTTGGTGTGTGCGTGTGTAGGTGTATTTTGTATGCAGGTTAAGAGCAATTTTCGGAATACGCATAATTTAACATTTAGACGGTAGATACAAGGCAAATCTTCAAAGCTGTGAATGATGCATTTACATATGTGTGTTTTGGCAAAATGAAAATATTTAGATAAAAGCTGAAATAAATCAATGAAATTTTAATGTTTGAAGTTCAAAAAATATATGTATATTTGGTAGTCGTAAAAGTCTTTTCGTATTTCCAATCAAACTTGAACTAATTTTTTTATATTTTATGAACCAAATATGTACCATTTCGGTCCACCACTTTAAGTCATTTTTAATACGCTTTTATTCCTTTAGAGACATTATTCCAAATGTGTAAAACTTTTCTGGTTTCTCGGCGAAAAACTGCTACAAATAATTTTCACAAACTTCTCTTAAAGCCAACTTTACTCCATTAAGAGAGTTCTGCATTGACCAAAACAAACGGTAGTCCGATGGTGCAAGATCAGGGCTATATGGTGGATGCACCACAACTTCCCAGCCAAGCTCTGCCAGTTTTTTTCGATCCATCAGCGTGTGGTCTAGCGTTGTCGTGATGGACGGCGAAGCCCTTTCTGTGTATCATTTGTGGCCGTTATTTCTCCAATTGGTTGCTTCAATCTCATCAATCCCGCCAAACACTCAGCATAACATTTCGAGACTTCAATCCTAGCTTAGCGACCATTTTTTGAGCTTCACCACGCTTGAACCAACTTTTGTCTCCGGTTACCACTCGCTTCAAAAATGGTTCGATTTCATTTCGTTTCACCAAAGAATGGCAGATGTTAAATCGGTCCACTAAATTTTTTCAATTCATTCATTCATGTATACGAGTCCTTAATTTTAGAGATGTCGTTTAGAAATTTCTGTCCAAAAAACTGCTTATTTGTTGGAACCGTCGACATCCGCCTACTATAACTTATCGCTGTCATACAAACTGAAGGATCCAAATCAAATTGTTGTAGAAAAACTTTTTATTTTTTTTACTTTTTTTACGATTTTTCTTGTTTTTATACAAATTTAAACTTTCACAGATTAATCTGCCATTGAAGTACTCTTGTCCTGAAGTGAAAATAAATACATAATTTAGGAGCGCACACACATTTGTATACAGCTCCCCATTCCACAACAACTAATTAAAATCTACTCGACTACATAAAAGCACTCTCAACCAACTTTATTTGACCACTTCCACTTATCCATGGTTTTATAAGTATATGGATATATGTATATAACTATGTGTGTGAGTCTGAATTTTTTTCCATTTATGTTTTGATGCCCTCAAGTGGCCATTAGTTTTCGAGCATATCACTTACGACCGTGCTGGAGACCTCTAAAAGCTAAACAGTAGAAAATTTGAAAAAATGGCTTTTAGGCGGTAAAATATATGCTATGTTTTACATATCAGTGCACATATGCATATATTTCTATGTTTAAGTCCTTTCAAATATCCTTAGAGAGTCATGAAAATGTAAACACCAACAAGTAAGCAGACGCTACACACCGACTACATTCCTGATTTCGCCTTTTTTATGCAACACCAGCAATTGGGGAGGTCAGCACTTGACACTCAATTAATTTTGCTGGCATTTTGGTGTTTGAGCTACTCACTCAGCACTTAGCATTTTATTTCATTACTTTACTTTCACATGCATATTTTAACTTTGTATAGTAGTGATACTAAMTTTGTTGTTGTTGTCGAATTTATTATTATTATTGTTGTATGCTATTGCATACAAGTAGCCATCACTTATGTGTGTAAGCGCAAATGATAAAGTGACAGCAACTTATTGAAGTGGGGGAAAAGTTGCAGAGCATGACAAGGCGTATACGCAACATTTTATGCGAACATGTAGCAAGTTTTGAAAGCTGTAGCTTTTCAGCTTTTTTCGACTTTTACTTCAAGCCTATACTCATCAGCTACCTGGTATGTCGTGTATAATATATATTGCAATTTTCTTTCGGTTTTTCAATCGAATTAATTCCGATAATGGGCATCTCTCGACACTCAACTGCGAGAATGCGCCGCATATCCTGCATGCTCTTCGCACATCATGCATTTGATTGATGGTTTTAGTGGAATAAAGTATGCCACGAGCAGCATGCACTCATAGAACAAAACACACATGCTGTCAAAGCGTAAGCACGCTGCTTTATTTTCGCACATACTCACACATAAGTACATATGTGCATACATACATATATCAGCGATTGAATCCGGACTTTATTTACATATGTACAGTTCTGTCTTGTCATGGTTTTTGCATCATTTTTTGTTGTTGTGATTGTTGTTCAATAAGATATGGGCAAATTCGTCGACAATGAACTTTTCGAACCTGTCGGTTTTGCGACAGGGACCCTGAAACCCCGGAGCAGTTGTTAATCGACTGCATTGCAGTCTGTAGGCGCAGGTCGAAGGCCCTTGGAGCCATGTTTCCGGATAGGGATCTCATCGCCTCGCTAGCACCCAGCAGAATACTGGAATTCATCAATATGCTGGGGCTAAGCGAGTCCCTGTGAGTTAGGAGAGGTGCATTCCTCAATTATTTATCTTATCTTATCTTATGAACTTTTTGCTCTCTACATATATAAATATACATACATATATGTAGGTCCACATATTATTTATTTGTATATAAATATGTATGTCGATATGGGTATAGATGTGTAGATACTTATGATATCTGCAGACAAGTGTTGATACATATATATGTATGTAGGTATTTGCATGTACTCGCAGGCACATAACAGGCTTCATGTTTGTTAGTCAACTCAAACCTCAACTCCTGGTATTATCAATTGCTCGTTTTTCGAAAATTTAATTTAATTAAGTAGGATACCGAGTAGGGAAAAATTTAATTAAAAAAAATTAAATTAAATAAAATTAAAAAAAATGAAA